CAAGATAGCATTTGATGTCCTCAATGCAAAGGAACTAATGCAGAAACTTTAAAGCAACAGAGGTCAATAGGAGAAGGGGACCAGGAACTAGAGAAATGGTTAGTTTGAGAAGAATTAACTTAGAAGGTAACACACATGCATAGGAAATCAATGCGAATCAACTCCCTGTATAGCTATCCTTATCTCAACCAGCAAAAACCCTTGCTCCTTCCTGTTATTGCCTATACTCCCTCTTCAACAAAATTAGAGATAAGGGTAAAATAGTTTCTGCCTGGTAGCGAGGGGGTAGGAGGAGAGGGAGAGGGTGGGAGAAAGGGAGGGGGCGGGGGAAGGGGGGAAATGACCCAAACATTGTATGCACATATGAATAAAAGAAATTTTAAAAAAAGGGCTGCTCTCCAACATATGTAAAAATGGTGACCACTTTTTTATATATAATAATCAAAGCATAAAGCATGACCTTTCAAATTTGGGACTAATCAGTGTTTTTCAACTGACCCATATGAAGCAAACATTCTAAGAGTCCTATGAGAAACAAGCTATATTTGGTAAAGTGAAGAAGTAACCACAGTTGTGACTAGAACAGAGAACAGAGTTTGGAGATGGGAAGTACAGATGGAAGATGCTAATTCTCTGAGATGAGTAGATAAGAAGCTGGCTTCAAGAGAAGGTGTAAGTGGATATCTCCTCTTCCCATTACAATTTTCAGTATTTCATTGCAAATGGATACTGCAACTCTTTAGTGATGCAAGACAGTACAAAACAGCACATCTGTTTTCTCATAAATGGATGGTAGAGCCACACATGACACAATTCTGCTTAGGGATCTGATATTTGGCCAATCTGATAGCTATTTTCTGTTGGGAAGTAAAGAATTCATAATAACATCCTTTCTCCCCATTGTGTTGGCTTGGCATCCTGGTATGATTCAATTGCAGTTAAAATAAAGATTAGAGATAAGCATTTTGAAGGATAACCATTTGAAGGACAAATTCTTATGAAAAGAATATTTACTCTCCCTTTGAGAAATGAAGTATCATGGTTCATTGAAGGGACAGTATATAGTATAGTATATATTACTGTATCTTAGCTCAAAATTTAAGTACACTTCTTTGTTTAAATTAGACTTTCCTATCAACCTTCTTCTACAAAAATAACAGATAGATAGACAGACAGACAGGTAGATAGATAGATAGATAGATAGCTGGATAGATCTTTGCATCATTATACTAGAAAATCCTTGGAGCTTGGAGTGCCCAACAGAACAATGAAATGTACTCTGGATCGCTTATACAAAACATTAGAATAACAAGTCCTAGGAAAAAGCCATTGCTATTGACCAAGAATAATGAAAGGATAATAAAAGGATATGTTGAAATGAAACCCTGAAACTAAGGCCAAGTTATTCATTGGATACCTTTGAATATGAGTTTGAATGAGTTGAAAATATACAAATTAGCCAAGTTCTCTGGCATTTATGTACTCATCTCTAACAAGAGGAGGAAGCAGTGATGGTATGAATGAATCAGTGGACAACCTGACTTTCCAAAAGTTTCCTTAGGGAATTTATCTGATGTACATGGAAGATAATATAGCTATGTGATGTATCTAGCATGTTGAACACTTAAGTTTGTGTGCTGCTTTCAGATAATTTGGCAGAGATTCCATTACATTACAAAACACTGAAACGTTAAAGGAAATATTAACCTTGTCAGATTATGTATTGGGTTGAAGTTTGTCTTCTGTGCCAAGATATTGGGCTTTCCTTTCTTCAGTGACCTCTCAGGGAGGCAGAGAGGACAGCCTTGTGTTTAATAACCTGTATTATTGAGCTTTTCTTTCAAATCAGAACACTTTTTAAAGGGAGAAAGACAAAGTTAAAGGAAAGTGTCTTGATTTCCATCCATTAGAACTTGGTATTTTATTGGAGGCCCACCCCATGGTACAGCCCTGTATCACCATAAAATCATGCTCTCACCCCAAAGCTGGATCCCATTTGTGAGCTAAGTCTAAACATAGCTCACTGTCTGCTGGTGGTACCTGAATCACTTGATAGTGGGTTAGCCTTTTATGTCATTGGTTGGTTGTTCCCAAAATCTTTATTGTTTCCCCAAATCTCAAGAAATCTTTAACATGACAAAAGAAAAGCATTGTTTTACATAACATTTGAATTTTGTTATCCTTATTTTTCAAACCACCAACAAAAAGTTGGTCATTCTTCTACATTTGAGTTTAAAATAGAGATGGTAATTTACATATGTTTGTTAAATGAAGCTAGTGGTGGGGAGAAGTACTATATTTGATTCTCCTTTTTCCATCATACAATCTGTGTCTCTCAGGAAGGACTGGCTCTTGGCATTTACCATATCTTTATTACAGAATATGGGAGAAGGAGGGACGATGACTGAAGATGTCTCTATTAGTTTTATGTAAAGTGGGACCTCAGACAAGGATCTGGTTGTAACCAGAAAGGGACATCGTCCTATCCCAGGGAGGGATACTGAATGGGACTGGCAACAGTGGCAGCGAGCTCCATTCTTCAGGGCCCTTGCAGGATGTGTGGAATGTGAAGAGGACAAACACAGAAGTCCTAAAGAAGAGCAAAATTATGCCATTTGCTGGAAAGCTAATGGAATAAAAAAGGTCACAAAAGTAAAAGGAGGACTACTAAGGGTGTGGAAAGGGAAGAGGAAAAGAGGAAGTGGGAGGATGATAAAGAGTCATAGAGGGAATGAATATGGTCAAAGTACATTACATGTGTATGTGAAAATGGCATAAGGAAAACCCTCAGTGTGTAAAATTTAAAAAAATTAAAGGCAAAAAATATACATCTTCCTGTAAAATAATAAAAAATGCCATTCTATCTCAAATAAATATATATTAAAGTAAGTATCCATTTATTATATATTTATACTACTAAAATGAGTGTAATATAGCATGCTAATATTTATTAATTACTAAATTTACTGAATTCATAGACAAAAATGCACAGAGCTCATATGTTCTGGCTTCTTTTTGTTCACCTTCAGTTTTTCATGAATAACATTTAGCAGAAGCTAACTCCATTTTTATAATAGTTTAGAATCACTGAAAGAGACCTGAGGAAATGAAATATTGGAAAATATTTGACTGCCTTTTTTAGGAAATTTAGGATATTAGCTGCCTTTCTAAAGTGCAATAAAGTTTATACTTTATCTCTCAAATGAGAAAGCAGCAAAAAATGAATGCTTTTATCTTAGACTGACCACAAGTTTCTGGGATTTTAATATTATTCCTGCTTTACTACTTATAAGTCAAAATAGATAAATAACATCTTTGGGGAAATAAGCTTGCCTTCCTTTATTTCCCATGCTGAAGAACTCAAAAAATAGTAAATAATATAATAACACAGTCTGACCTTAGAAAATTTGATAGTGTTTTTTTCTTTATATATATATATATATGGAATCTGTGCTGTAACCTATAGGAAAGATCTCCTATATTGGCCCCCTTCTAATATTTCAAATATGACTTGGCTGGTTCCATAGTCGTTGGACACACATTGATTCTTCTTTCTCTATCATGTTCCAGGAACGGCTTCTGCTTTCCTTGCTGCCAGCTCACATAGCCATGGAGATGAAGGCCGAGATCATCCAGAGATTGCAAGGGCCCAAGGCAGGCCAAATGGAAAACACAAACAACTTTCATAATCTCTATGTCAAGCGCCACACCAATGTGAGGTATGGCCCTCTACCCAAACCCCTCAGCAGCCCTGGGAAGCCATTTGCCTTCTGAGGACATTTTTGACTGACTGGAATCTGTATCTAACATCTCTTCTATTTAACTGTTAATCCTTCCCAACTGGAATAGCTCCCACTGCAATCACTCTTTGCCTGCCTCTTGGGTCCTTTGATTATAATAAAATAAGACCCTTTTTATTGCATTGAGTTTGTCCTTCACAGATCTGCTTTCCATAGCTGACAATCATTCACAGAAGATAAAAGGCTGGCAGTGAGGTCCTTATTCTGCAAACCCATGGTCATATTGCAGTGTGCTTTGATGTAGGGTCCATGGCTTTCCAGGCACAAGGATTGATCCCTCCAGATGGGCTTGATGTGGGGGTAGGGCCTCTGGGAAGCCAATGCATTCCATGGAAGCTGGATGTTCTGCTTTCCACCAGGGATGATGGGTTTCTGGTATATGGTCAAACAATGACAAAGGGCACCTGAACTAATGTGCACCTTGAGTAATGTGTTTTGACACCGTTTAGTCAAGACTATCATAGTCATAGTTACTAACCAGGCAGTCATTCCTAGAACTATGGTACTTAGAAAACTAACATGACGATAATCTAACTAATAACCACTACCAGTCCAATGACATCATGGGTTTGTGGTCAGTAAGGAAAGCCCTGTGAGGCTTTGGTCTCCCCTGAATTCTAGAAAGGAACCATGAGGGCCCTCACAGCAGGCTCGAGTGGGGTCCCTGCCATACTCTTACCTCCCTGCCACTGAAGACTAGGTCCCTCACTGATTTCTGTGTACCATCCACTCCTAGTACCTCTTCTTTGAGTAGAAGGGAGGGTTGTTCTTCCATCCATTGGTTGTGTTGATGCCGTTCTTTCTGTTCTAGCTTGGCAATGCATGTTGGTCCCTTGTGCATGTATCTGGTCTCACTTGTCACACTTTGGTCTTGTCAATTAAGTTGTAGAGAAACGGATTGATCTATCCTTTAGTAACAACTACCACCATGACCAACCTTTGCTGAACATCTGCTGGAACTGGGATCTCGCCAGTTCCTGGCTCTCCACTACAGGCTTCTAAGGTTCTTAAAGGTCATTAGTGAGAAGTAAATTTAACTGAAACTTAAAGACATTGCTGTAGTAATTCTCATTTGACATCAGGTCTTGAAAAGGGCCTGTGAAGCCAGTGGTATGCATGACCCAAGCATACATAGACGTAAATATGCAACTAGAAACTCATTTCAGCAAAAAGAGGACAGAAAAGCTCAATTGCATTTCACCAGGAGCTAAGCACCATTAGATAAGTTATAGGAAAAAAGCTAAACATATTTCAAGAAAGTTCACACATATTAAGGAGTAAAATCACTTAAAATCCTGGCCTGCCTTCCTTCTTATAAGCATTCCATCTATAAAATTAAATTAGACGCATTCATGGTTCTGACTAGGTGTATCATTGTACTAATTGCTCTTTTCCAATTCGAGCTGTGTGAAATGCAGCAGTGCTCCTCCCATAGCAGGAAATATCTTTAAGTCCCTTACTAGATATTCAAAACACGTAAAGGGGAATGCAGTTGTATCTAAATGGGGCCACCTCTTTAAGTAGCTGTGTCACCATCAAGAAACAAACATATAAAATGACAAAAAACACTCCAACCTCAGGCAACTAATGAAGGGTTCTTATGCTCTCTGTACTAGTTATCAACTCTTGTTTAACAAATTACCCCCAAACTTAGTGGGTAAAAACAAGGATAAACCTTTCACAGTGTTTCTGAGTCAAGAATTCACAGTAGCTTATCCAAGTAGTTTAGGCTTAAGCTCTGCCGTGAAGTCGCAGGCCAGATGTCACCTGCACTTCTGGGGACCTGCTTCTGCCATGGCTCCTTCCTTATTTGGCTGTTATGCTGGCTGTTGGCTGGAGACCTCAGTTCCTCTAGTCTTCACCGTAGGCTGCTTGAACATCCTCACAATGTGCCAGTTCACTTTCCCCCCGAGAGGGAGATCCAAGACAGCCAGGCAGAAGCTGTTTTATCTTCTATGACCTAGCCTTGGAAGGTTTTTTCTTGGTCAAATTTGTCATATTCTATTGGTTACACAGGTCAGTTCTATGACATGTAGAAGAAGACAATACAAGGGCATGAATGACAAAAGACAAAGTTCATGGGGCTGTCATAGAGACTGACTACCACACTCTTTAAGCAATTGATGGGTGAAAACAACCCTGACTGTTTCTTTCACAGATTGTCTTGAATATATATGTACTATCAAATTAAATTTAAATTCTTAACAATATATTTGAGATCTAAAATAGCTTAAAAATTTGCTTAAATGGGACATAGTACCAATTATTTCTAAAATACATTTGAAAATGTGTGGTCTTCTCATCCTGGAACAGGACATATATAATCAAAGAAGTAGACTCAATTCATATAGGAGGTATAGATAGTCTGGCAAATACCTGAATGGATTGCTGTTTTTTTAGTGAGAATTTACTACATTTCCAGGTATTACCAAAAGATTACTTGCTGATTCTGTTTTGACCAAAAATATTTATTCTCCATTAGTGACATTTACCAGCTCTTTACTATCTAATGAAAATGTAATATAACAATATATCAATGTGAAGATAGCAGCTAGTGGTTGCCTTCTGAATCTCTATAGCCTTAGCCTTTTTCTGAATCTTTCCCACCAGATCCAAAACATTCGCAAATCCATCATGTATTTAAAAAAAACACAAAGACATAAATATAACATAAAGACACTGTACTTCCCTTAATCTTGTGTACCATCCAAGTCTAAACCTACCTCTTTCTTTCATAGCACAAATTCTACAAAGATTTTTCTACACTACCTGCTGTTCCTTATTTTCTCCTCTCTTGAAATTGCTACTCTCTGTTGTTAACCTCCACCAAATTACAAAAGTGATTCTTTTTAAATTCACCACCAGTTCATCTTGTCCCAGTAAGAAAAGATCTCAGTAAGATGTCTGCACCCTTATTGCACTGACCAGTCTGGTATGCTTGCCCCCGAAGACCTTACCCCCTACTTAAGGAATGTGCCCATCCCTTGGTCTCTGTGACATTATACTCCCTTTGCTTTTTTCCTAGAGTCTCTTTAATGGTTTTCTTTTCTATAAGTTAAGTCCAGCCTCTCCTACAAATGAGTGTTGTCAGGGCTTTCTTTTCTCTTCATTCTTCTCCCAGGAATTTAATATCCATCTATATGATTCTAAGACACAGAACTCAACATAGATTTCCATGTCCATCTACCTAGTGGGTATCTAAGATGGTGTTATAAAACTAACAGAAAGTTGAACTAGTCATCTTCCTCTACAAGCTTACTGTGATCTGTACAAACCTCACTTCCTGAACCTCATTTCTCAACCAGACACTGGTCTTCATTTTTGATGTTTCCTTTTCCCAGACACAAACATTTAACTAGTAATCTGACAATGCCTGGTTCATTCTCCTTCTTCATATGTCCACTTCTCTCCATCATCCCTCATTATAGTCCCGCCACGGGGCTCCCTTGGATTCCTGGAAAATGATTCTAACTGACCTGTCTGTTTCCAGGATCCATAGCCATAATAAGTTTTACAACAGTGCCAATCTGCCCATGTTCCCTCCTATGTGATCCTATAACACATCATGCTTCCTTTTTTGTAGCTTCGCATATTGTACCACAATCAACTGCTTACTTTTTTAATCTTCTACTGTCAAACAACCTCTGGACAGCCAGCTTATCTCAGGGATCTTTTACCCACTACAGGTTTTGCCCACTGGAAGCACTGTGTGAGTTGTGAACAGAAGGATGTGGAGTCAGCTGTCCTTGCACGTACATGCATTCTACTTCTGAATTCTGCTTTGGGTCAGATACTCTTTGTCTGATGAGAGACCTAATCATCCTTCTTAGATCATGATTCAATGTCTGCCATCCCTGCCTCTTCAGAAGATCATGGGAGATGTGGGTTGTTTGAGGGATTATTGGAATAAGACAGAGAGTGCAGCCTCCGTCCTTGGTTTTCCTGGGTCTGGAAAAGGTCTCTTGGGCTCCTGTCCACCTGCAGAGGAACAGGTCTTTACCTTAAAGTGGACAGGAGCCCAGCTGACTGGTGCCACGTTGTGTTTTTTTTTATGGTAAAATATACATAACACTTACAATTTTAACCATTTTTTTCTTTTTTTTGAGCCATGCAGGGTGTTACTTTATTTTTTTTATTATTTATTTATTTATTTATTTTTAAAATTTTATTATTCATATGTGCATACAAGGCTTGGGTCATTTCTCCCCCCTGCCCCCACCCCCTCTCTTACCACCCACTTCGCCCCCTCCCTCTCCCACCCCCCCAATACCCAGCAGAAACCATTTTAAGGGTACTATTTAGTGGGGGTAAAGTATATTCACAGTGTTCAGTATCCATCATTGCCATCTGTCTCCAGGACTTTCTCTTCACTCCATACAAAATCTCTGTCCCCATTAAACAATGACTCTCACTCATATGCCATAAACCTCACCTAGCCCCTGGCACCTTCCATTCTAATTTCTGTCTTTTTTGTTTGACTACTTGAGGAACCCTACATAATTGGGATCATACAGTGTTTGTCCTTTTTTATCTGGCTTATTTCACATAGGCTTTAAAGGCTAATATTCCAGTGTATGTCTGCAAACTACATTTTGTCTATCTGTCATGTGTCAATGGACATTTGTTTTTTTCCATCTCAGCTACTGTGAATAAAGCAAATACAAGTCTCTTGTTTCAGTTCTTTTGGATATGTCCCCAGAAGTAGAATTGCTGAGTCAGATTGCATTCTAGCCATAATGTTTTGAGGAACTAATCATTGTTTTCCACAATGGTTGTACCTTTTACACTCCCACCAGCAATGCACAAGAGTTCCAATTTCCCCACATGCTTGCCAACACCTGTTATTTTCTGTATTTTTGTGTTTGTTTATATAATAGCTAGTCTAACGAGTATGAAATGCTAGTTATTTTTGCTTCATGTTACATCCTAAGCCATACCATATTCACTATGCAAATGCTCAAACAACAAGAGATTTAAGCTTCTTTATAAGACTTTCCTAAGTATTGAAATATGTTGTTGTGTAGGAAAGGGTATAATGCACACCTGTGTGCTGTGTTTCCCTACTCTAAGCACATATATGTGCTAAGGAATCTCACAGTAGCCTCCACTGCTCTACACATCCCATGAGGGGAACAGCTCTGTCATTTCCTAAGAATGATGTCCCTCGATCCCTCACCATGTAGCCTCTACACCCCTTCTCTCCTAGCTCTGTGCTGTTTTCAATTGTAGCACTTATCATATGTTACAATAGGACATTTGTTGATGTCCTTTTTTGGTTAATGAATGTACTCCCCCCAACTGAACTATGAACTATAGGAAGAAATATTACGTATGCTTCATTCCGACAGATAATAAATACTCAGAACCATTCAATCATCTTTTTCTAAAAGAAAAGTATTATTCCAATTTTTAATTTGAATCAGTGCAGGTAGGATTGGGTTTTATCATTTTGCCATTTCTACTTTAGGAATTGTCATGTGACCATTCAGGTAGAACCACACTCCATTGATCATCCAAGTCACATTGGTGTAATACAGTCAGTTATGAAGCCCAGAGTCACAGGGAGTGAGGGAAGGAGGGTGAGCAGAAAGAACAGCCTGGAAGGGTACACATGCAAGAAAGAACTTTTCCTCTTTTTGCTAACTCCTCACCTCCACTACAGAAATTTAACAGTAGAAAAAAATGTTTAAATGGACAATTTAACAAAAGGTTTATGAATTTCCTTCTCCAGGAAAATGACATCTTTCTCATGAAATTACAAAGTACAAAGTAACTTTACTCTTTTATTGGGAAAATTGTCATGACTTTCCTAACAAATACAGACTTTCAAATTCTGTCCCAAACCCTGTTCCCACAGTATCTTGTATGCGGATATCGTTGGATTCACCCGGCTGGCCAGTGACTGCTCACCAGGGGAGCTGGTCCACATGCTAAATGAACTCTTTGGGAAGTTCGATCAGATTGCGAAGGTGAGCAGCTGGCTTCCCCTCCACTGGGAGGACTTGATGAAATTTTGGCTTCTTTTTTCTCCATCCCATTATCTCCCTTTTTACATAAAAGCATCCTTCAAGAATGTTTGTACAATATGTTGGCTTTATTTGCAATTGAGCCTTAAACCTGTGTCCAGGATGGGACATGCCTTAGCACATATTTACCACGTGTTTTCATCTAGTTTTAAACTTCTGCTTATATATATTTCAGCACTCATACAATAAATACATTCATGATGAGATTCTCTCTGCACAGTGGTATTTTGAAGTGCTTTTTGTAGGTATTTCAGTGTCAAGTTGATAAGGTTATGTCTCTCATCAGATATAACTGTCCTTTATTAATATGGTTAAACTAGATTCTGGAAGAACCACTAAAATAGGATGCAGACCATCTGGGAAAGCTCTTTACTTACCTTTGATTCATTTTTTTGCTTTGACTTTTGTGCCACTTAAACAGAAAGATAAGTTTCAGGTTTTCCGTAATATGCTTATGCAAGGGAAATTTTACATGTCAGAAATGATGGCAAGCCATCTGAAACCATACTAGCCCTTACTTACTGGGCTTTTCAGGGTTGCTGGGGTGATGCACAAAATTTTTCTTCCTTGCAAGCTCTTTACTTTTCATAAAACAACTCCAGTCATCCTAAGTTTGTCTTTGATTTGTTCTCAACAAAAAAAAAACCTATATTTGCCTATTAATATTAGCTATTTATATGTGGAAGAAGTGGTCCTAAATTCAGCTCAAGCAAACATCTGAGGAGAAAATATGACCTGCATCTCTCAGGATGGTCATTCTGGGGTTCGGTTCCCACGTTTTCTGTCTCGTGCCACGTGACAGGTTTCACTGGAAATTTTTAAAAATCCACTAAGAATATAGCTCTGGTTCCTTCCTTTACCAACCCAAAGGTGAAGGAGTTTTGTAAGTAGCAATTTATAGAAAAGGAAAGGTTGAAACTAAAGTTTTTTCACTGACAAAAGTCATTTTTGTTGGGCTGACTCATCATGTTAGGAAGAAACAACCCAGCCATGACCAATGGAAGTACCACAGGCTTCACCAGACATTCCCTTCTCTGTGTGCATGTCTCAGTGTCTGAATTTCCCCCTTTCTGTCACTTCTGTCATATTGATTGGAACCCACCCTGCTCTAGTAGGACTTTATCTTAACTAATTACGCATACAATAAACTTATCACCAAATAAGATCACAGATGAAGGTACCAGGACTGGTGTCTACATAAGTATTTGCAGGACACAATTCATTACTCTTATCAGAGGTATTCCTTGTGATTTACTCTAACCACTGGAACAGAGGAACACCTAGGTCTACAGGGAAGCACACAGCAGATAGCACTTCACGGCTCATAGTTAAATAGCATGGACTTAGAAAGCATTGTAGCCAAACAGCACGATCCACTGAGTGAATGCTGGCAAAGCACATCACTGTAAGCCAAGGAATCCAAAATCATTGCCTTGCACTGTAACCAATCCTCACGTTCTCTAGACTCAGAGTATTTATCTAGGAAGTGTGGGAGGCAGCATGACTAATAAGTAATTGTTTGCCTTTTTCTTATTTATAATATTGTTATTGCAATTACTAGTCATGCCACTGATAGTGCTATAAATAAGCATGAAAGCATGTCCTAGCTTGTGAGCAATTAGTCAGGGAAAGAAAAATGCCGAACTTTCAGAAACCTAACATATGCTGAAGAGGAAGAAGATTTCATGTTCTTTTTATTGTTCAAAATTTGTTCAGTTTGAGCATAAACCTGTGTAGCATCAGGGGAAAAAGAATCTGTGTTTGACACTTTTTTTTTGCTTTATTTTACTGAACAGTCTATAAGCTGTTTGCAAAAGTTAAACATAGTTGTAGAATTGATGCATTTGCATGAAGTTAATCTAAATATTACAATATGAATACAATCCAACCAAGGAAAATAATTAAATAGTCAAACACTGTATTAAAAGAGTTTAGCCTAAGATCAGAATTAAATTTTAAATTACTTGGCCATGTTGAATAATGGCTTATTAGATTGTGAAGATGTTTATCGGATGTTGCATGTTTGTGGGTAAAAATTTGCTTCTGGTTTAAAATAAATGAAGAAAACTGTAGCATAGTAAAGAATGGCATACAACTCTAACACAAATTGAGTTCTGACCATCTTTTATAGTCTGAGGGATTCTGCTCTGCCTCAAATGTTTCATTTCTCTATTTGTGTCTGTAGACTGTGTTTAGACCAAGGAAAAATAACCCTGTCCTAATCCTCTGCTCAGATTAAGGAAATCAGTCCAGAACACTCTTTTCCATGTCTTCCCCATCCCCTTATCCTTCCTGCTTTGGAGATAGGATTGTAGCTGGGGCAATGAAGGAAAGCCCAGGTTCTCCTTTCCCTCTCCCCACAAGCCCTACCCTTGGGGGTAGAGTCAGGAACATCAGCGCTTGATGGTGCTGGATAATCTGACTCCTTGTGCAAGTGCTAATGGAATTTTGTGCTTTTTTTTTTTCTTTCAGGAGAATGAGTGCATGAGGATTAAGATTCTAGGAGACTGCTATTACTGTGTTTCTGGACTACCAATATCTCTCCCTAACCATGCCAAGAACTGTGTGAAAATGGGATTGGATATGTGTGAAGCCATAAAGTAAGAATACTGCTTAAAAAGTCCTTTTAATGTGTCGCGGCTTTGAGTTGTGCTTCTCCCCTGCGACTATCTCTGCTTTTCTTTCTACACTAATGTACACCAAGTACATTATTGTACACTCAAATATAAATATACAGAGGACCCTTTATTGACACATGAGTAACTCAGTCCAAAGTAAGGCTTCTGTACGTGTTCGGTGTTATTATTGCTCACTTTGAATCACAGCGAAGCTAAGTTAGAAATTTATCTGCTTTGCTTTTTTAAAGGTGATTTTTTAAAAAATTTGAACCTCTGCTTTGATGTTCAGATGAAATCTTCACTCAAAGCATCCATCCACATACTGTAAGGGGAAAAGTAGTTTTACTATGAGACTGCTATTAATACAAAACTCAGTTCGGAATTATATCACCTAGTCAAAGACGCCCAGCTTTGCGAATGTATGGTCACTTGCATCTCTAACATGGGTTTTCTGCATTGTAGCTATCGTTTATACCCCTGTGCTTCCAGAGAGAATCTGCTTATGTAGAATAATGTTATCACAGGCAGAGCGTGCTGTAACCCCAGAACTCCAGAGGCCGAGGCAAGAAGATCTCGAGTTTGAGGCCAGCCTAGGCTACATAGTTAGAACCTTTCTCAAAAGAAAAGAAAAGAATAGTGTTATCAGTAACACTGCCGGGCACAGGGCAGGCATATGGGGGGAAAGGAAGTCTCTATTACCATCACCTTCCTGCTTCCTTTTTTAGTAATGCTCTTTGTAGAAGCTAGAATATTCTTATAAATGATAAAAGCTTTTTACTGATGGTTGGAAAATTGGAAGATTTAGTGCATTGGATTTTTTGGTTTGTCTATCTTAGACAACTGATTTTTCCTTCTCCACTGCATATTTTTAATATAAAAAGGGAGGAGACTCTGTGCTTGATGTTCTGCTCCTTTGTCTGAAGATTAGAGTAAATAGGACTAAGTGGGAAAGCAATGAGTCCAGTTGTCACCATGTTTTCTCACTGTGTGTGCGGGTCACATGCCAAAGAGTAAAAGGTTTTTAGGTGACCTGCCAGCACAGTCCAGGGAAGAGTAACTGGGCTGCCCAGCCTCAGCCAGAGGCCAGGATCTCCAATGAGACCTAGTGGTCAACCTTGTCCACTAGTGCGGCAGCGAGGCATGGTGGGTGCTGTTGGACTGGAATGGGAGGAGGCAAAGTGAAAGCAGGGTTAAGAGGAGTTGCTACTGAGAACTGTTTCTCTACGTGACATAGAGGTCATCGGAAATAGCCATGTTCTACGTATTTCTTCCCTTAGTAAATCATTTTCTCTCCAATGTGTGAAAAATATTTTTTGCTTTTTTTCAAAGTCATGGTAATGACTCTGCAGGGCTAGATTTAAGTGAAGCCAGTCAGTGGAGCTAACAGGTTTTCTCAAGTTTATAAACTGCCCTTAGAGGCAACCTAGGTCTCGGTGCATGATTCATCAGATGATCAAAAATACATTGTTTTGTTACATCTCCATAATGTCGTCACAAAGAGGGAATCACAAGTTCTGAAATCTTTGTCCTCTTCTCTCTCATTCGAGGGACAAGCATTCATGTTCCCAATCACCGAGCCGTAAGATAAGGATGAGTACAGAAATTTTAATTTTTTTAAGCTTGTGAAGGAACACTTTTCTCAGGCAGCCATTTATTTTTAACACCATTTTTATCATTTTCGCATTGTCACATGGTGTTCTTTCATCATTTAAGCATGGTGTATGTGCTTATGGCATTTTGATTTGTGACTCACGCTGGTAGTCCCGTCTCCACTGTGTGACTTCCCTCCACATTTTCTCTGGAGATAAGTCTTTCCACGTAGCTAAACTCATCTTTCTGCATACTTTTTCTTTTTAACAGTAATACTCTAAATAATGAGTTGAGTATATTTAGTTGGCAGAGATAAATGAGCCTTGCCAAGCAATGGTGTTCTCCATTTGTCTTTGTTAATGAGCTAGCAAAAAGGTTCTGTTGTTATTTTCTGGCAATACTAGGGTTTGAACTCAGAGCCTTGCACTTACTAAGAAAGCACGTTACTGCTTGAGCCACACCTCCATCTGTTTTGCTTTATTTTAGTTATTTTTCAGATACAGTCTTACACTTTTTGCTGGGCAGGTCTCAGACTATATTGCTCCTTCATATGCCTCCTGATAGCTGGTATCATAAGCCTGAACCATCAGAACTGGCTTGTTCTTTGACATAGGGTCTCCTTAACTGTTTTTGCCCTGGCTGGTCTCCTATCTCTGACACCCATCTAGCTGGGATTACAGAAGTAAGCCACTGTGCCTGGCTTCCTAAGGTACTTTTAAAACAAATTTTTAATTAATTTCCTTCATAAATTATGCATTAGTAAAGCTTTTGAAAGTGTATTTTCCACTTTTTATTAAAGAATTATACAACCTAAAAGCTTTAATCTCATGATTATTTAAAAAATATCCTTATTCAAACTGAAGTCATTATTCAGCTCTCAGGCAAGCTGTATTGTTCTCTCATTAGTAGCAATGTTCTTTGGGGACAGACACCTTAGGAAACAATAGAATTGCAAATGACATCCAGTGTGCTGACATCACAAGGCAATGTCACTTGATTCTAGCATGAATCCACAGCAAAGGCAGCACACAACGTAAAGAAGTGTTTCATTCATATCGATCAAAAAGTACAAAACAGCAGCCGATATTCTGTCACCACCGTGGTTGGTCCCAAGCTGGCTTTCCTACCAGAGATCAGAGCTGTAGCGCTAATCTGTGAGCAGCAGCGAGGAAATGCCCTTCCTTTTGGAAGAGCAGGGATCTTCTGCAAAAGGCCAAGTGCAGAGATTTGAGAAACTCTGAATACTGGCATGCCAGGAAAATCGACCAGGACGGAATGCTACTGATCTGTGACATCACTTCCTTTCTCTCTAGGAAAGTGAGAGATGCTACTGGGGTTGAGATCAACATGCGTGTAGGAGTGCATTCTGGGAATGTCCTGTGTGGCGTGATTGGTCTGCAGAAGTGGCAGTACGATGTGTGGTCACATGATGTTACCTTGGCCAACCACATGGAAGCTGGAGGGGTCCCCGGGTAAGGACCAGCCCCAAGCCTGTCTTCAAACTGCACGCAGAAGGGGCGGCCAGTGGGTGACAACCAGCCGCTCAGTTGCCTTACACAGAAGGGCCGGCCAGTGGGTGATAACCAGCCGCTCAGTTGCCTTACACAGAAGGGCAGGCCAGTGGGTGATAACCAGCCGGTCAGTTGCCTTACACAGAAGGGACGGCCAGTGGGTGATAACCAGCCGGTCAGTTTTAGATGCCTTCTCTTGCTTGTATTGGTACCATGGTACTCATACCTAATAGCTTCTTATAATAATTAGATAAGCATAAAGGGCTTGTACCCTGGCAAATAGTAGAGTACTGTCTATCACACGTGAAGGCCCAGACTTCCATCCCCAGAACACATACGCGCACATAAATAAATGAAAATAAATAAAATCCACAAACTCTCAAGACTCAAGTCCACCAACCTTGTAGACCATAACCAGCAGCTATAGCTATCAGATACTAAATTATAAATCCTTACTTATTTGCAAATTTATAAATAAGGCTCCGGGTTAGTGATGTCTTATAATTCAATCCAGCTATGACGTCTCTCTAGTAGTGGTGACCTATAACCCCAGCACTGTTAACATAAGCCACTGTGGTGTCTGTCTTTGGTTAGCAGCCAGAAATGAGATTCTCAACACAAAGTCTGTAATTTGCTGGGAATCCGTGGCTCACACCTGCAGTCTTAGCTACTCAGGAGGCAGAGATCAGGAGGATAGTGGTTTGAAGCCAGCCAGGCAAATAGTTCATAAAACCTTACCTCAAAAAATATCCAACCAAAAAAAGCTGCCATAGTGGCTCAAGTGGTAGAGCTCCTGCCTAGCAAGCACGAAGCTCTGAATTCAAACCCCAGTGCTGCAAATAAATAAATAAACAAATAACGTTATAATCTGGAGAAGCAAGAGAAAGAAAACCTATACCTTCTTAGTGCTCTGCACTTTTCCTAAAACAGCCTTGATGTGCTTTTTGAAAGATACCCTCTTATGTAAAAAATTCAACATGACCGAGTTTTCTCTAGTGTAACTCACCACACCTACCATGCAGGTTCCTGTCAGTACAGACAGAAAAGCTCATGGCCTCTGGGAGCCACTCCAAAGCAGTGGCCAATGGAATAATTAGTTTCTTTCCTCAAAAACATATTGATTTTTCTTCATTTGGAGGAGAAATTGTTGCTGAAATCACAAGAAGAAAAACCTCTTTCATCTCATTTATCCTGTGATATCTTGACTGTGATTTTAAAATGGTATTTCAGACGTGTTCACATTTCCTCTGTCACCTTGGAGCACTTGAATGGAGCATATAAAGTGGAAGAAGGAGATGGTGACATCAGGGACCCATATTTAAAACAGCATCTCGTGAAAACCTACTTTGTAATCAACCCCAAGGTCAGTATCATTGTAATGAGTCTGTGATTATTATTTCTGAGAATATAGGGAGGAGGGGAAAAATATTGATATAGGTAAGTGTTTTTAGATGAAAATTAGTGTAGTTTCTTGCCTTTAAAATGACTTTAAATGCATTAAGTGGCCTAATTATGGAGCCTAACAATGAATTCAAAGATTTGTTCAAGGAACTTGGAATGCATCAACTGTCTGTATGGCAACGGTTCTGATGCAGGTTGCTGGTCAGAACCATTCTTATGTCAGTCAGTGTTAGTGTATCTGTTGTTTGGTGCGCCCTGTGTGAGGCTCTCAGGGGGCACAACCTTAGTATCTGTGAGTTAGAGAGTTAAATAAAGAGAAAAAAATTGATCAATCCTTCAAAATGAAAAAGATTAATGAGATGTAATAAGATGACATATAAGAAAAAGAAGAGAAGGAAATACTTTTACATTTAAATTATTTTTATTTGCATAAAATGGTTGTACAGGGAGGATATATTGTGACATTTACATATGTACTTAAAATATATTTTAATTAGATTTACCCCTTCCATCATTCTCCCTAGAGAAGGAGTTATTTTAAAGATTAACAAAAAAAATTTCATGTATACTTTCATATGCGAATGTGCACAGACATGTCTTCCTTGCATGCCTCCAAAACCCCCACCACCTGGAAAGCCACCAAATTATGCAAACAGTAAGCAGTTGCCTCTTACAGCATTCACAATGCATGTTAGGCCAGATCAGGGGTTTTGAGCTCTGATTTCTGTTTAACTCTCTTCAAATTTCTGCCAAATGGGTATTGTCACTACTTATAGTTTAGGTCTCTGAAGCCCCAAGGAGTTATGTGATTCCCCCCCCCGAATCAGACAGCTGGAAAATGATGCAAATCTCAACAAGGAAGACTTCTGAACCATGAAAAGCAATATCACAAAATGACAATCAGGTTCACAGACGTTTATTCATAATCATGTTCCTAAAACCTCAGTTTGACCTCTGGAGACAAACTTCCAAATATGTTGATGACTGGAAGTAGATGAGTGACAGGCAGCAAGAACTGTGAGGTTGGGGGGAATGCAAAAAAAAAATTATACAGAGAGCATTATACAGAAACACAGATTGCTTGCAAACACCCCCAAACCCAGCTGTCACTCTAGAAAAATACACCCATCAACAAAAAGCTGAAAGAGAGCAGCACAGTCCATGAAGAGTTTACTTTATAAAAATGTCCATTAGTATGTCTGCTGTTGTTTCCTAAGTTTCAGTTGCAGTTAAGTGTGGCTATCCGGGAAAACAAAAACCCTCTCTGAGCTCAGCGAGCTTGTTGCCTAGCCACACTGAAGAAATGAGAGCAGAACCAGGAAGAGGGAATGGGTACCAATACAGGACCTGCCTGGATCAAGTAGGCTGGAGCAGGAAAGAGGAGCAGAGCTGTGTACACTAGGTGATGCTTTCTTTCTTATCCTAAGGGGGAACGACGCAGTCCCCAGCACCTCTTCAGGCCTCGCCACACCCTAGACGGAGCCAAAATGAGGGCCTCTGTCCGCATGACTAGATACTTGGAGTCCTGGGGAGCAGCCAAGCCCTTTGCACATCTGCATCACAGAGACAGCATGACCACTGAAAATGGGAAGATCAGCACCACGGTATGCCTGCCTGTCTCAAATCCCCAGTGTGGGGGGAGAGCTGCTCACCCAAGCAAAAGGCTGGCATCTCCTGCCTAGATAACTTTTGTCTGCGATAAAGGTGACCTCCTTGTCCACAGGGCTCAGGGCTCTAAATTGAGGGACTTTGCACTTTAACTCTGTAACCCAACACAGCATTATTTACAACTGATAGTAGCTGAAATGTTGTTTAACCAGGTTCTTTTTGTCTGTCATGAAGTAGAGAGCCTGAGCTTCCTAATGAAAAGACAGCTAAAGGCAGGATGTCCTTGGGTTTGAGTAGCATTATCAAGACTGTTCAAAGCCTCGATGTTCAGGCTCTAGGCTCATTGTTGTGGGTCCTTATCTACATTGCTCCAACTTCCAACACAGAACAAAAGTACCAAGGTTCCTTATGACAGGGACATGTGCAACAGGATGGCAGAAAGGGAGCTGGGAAGTAGAAAGACCTATAGGAGGAAGGGAAAATAAACACAGTTGGGCACTTAAATTAATCCCAATAGTATTGCTAAATCATAAAACTGCTTCTGAGTACAAGTTCATGTATATAGCAGTTCTGTTAGGGGATGGAGGCTGAGTTAAAAAGCGAAACTTCAACATTGCATAATTGTCATTGGTGATGAAAAACATGGCAGGGTGTCAGGTAAAAGTAAAACTCCCTGCTTCCCTGTTCTTCACGTCCCAGTATCTTATCAGGACACCCTTAAGCCCAGCAGCCAGGGGCTCAGCATCTTGTTTTGGCTTGATTACATCTGTTCTCCCAACTTCCCTTTTTTCAACGAAAAAAATAGATGTAATCTGAAAGAAGACTGTGACCATTAGTCAAAAGGTGACTCTATAAACATAGGTCCCAGAGTTTGCATTCTAATGGCAAAACGATACCATAAACATCAAAAGAATAAATGAAAGGTATCATTTCAGATGGAGGTCAGGGCCACGATGATGATAAAGTAGAGTATGACATCTATTGTGAATGAGACAGTTACTCCAGGTGGGACAGCTGGAGAAATCTCAGGGAGAAAAAGGAACAAACTGAGAGGAGGTAGCAGGGCAACAAGGTCAAAGTCAGTGTCCCTAAAGTGGAAATGAATGTGGTGTCCACTGGGGGCAGAAGGTAAGCTGGAGTCATCAATAGTGAGCAGAGGAAACTCATCTGGGGTGAGATGCACTAAGGTTTATAATTAATATCTAATTTGAAGTACAATAGGGAGTTATGGGGTATCTTAAACAAGGGAGGAACAAAATAAATTTATGTTTGGGAATAATGGAGCACAAACACTGGGGTTTCAAGGTAGAACAATGCCTTCTTATGCTAAGATTGTAGCACTGAAAGCTGTGAGAAAATTCAAGGTCTAAAGAAAGTCCATGTGCATGGGACATGGTAGTGGAATGCATCTGTATGACGGTGAGGAACGGGCTCCAGGACTGGTGATTAATGACTGGTGACGTCATTCACTGAGATGACAAGTGCAGGGGGAAGTCAGATTAAAGAGTCAAACTCTTTAATCAAGAGTTTGCTGATGGATGTCTTTGAATCGATATGCCTCTTGAAACCTAAGTGCAGCAGGGAAGTAGACAGCTATGCAAGTCTAGAACTCAGAGGTCCAGGCTGGAGGTGTAGCTGAGAGAGTTCTCTGGATTTAGATGAACTGGATGAATTCAAGAAGAGAGCCATCCAAAGAGGGAAGACTGGGGCATCCTGGGCCTTCCAGCATTTAGGAATGTTAACCAAAGGCATTCTTGGACTCTAGTCTCCAATGGCTGATGAAAATTGATACTTCTATCATTTTTATAAAAATAATAATTTAGATTTTTTTCCCTCAGTATTGCATTTATTTTTAGTCCTTATGGCAAATAGCTTAGTCTCTCATTGAATTTATTACACACCAGAATTGGTTGGTTGTTTGGTTGGTTTTTAAGGAAATAAGAATCATTTATAAATCTTTGCTTGTGATTTTCTAATTATCCCTGTGGGGAAAAGTTTTATTTTATCGGGTGTATTGGTGGTGTTGTGACTGTTTATATCTTACCCATCTTTGTTTGTTCTATGACTTTAGTGTAACTGTCTCCCTTATTACCTGACTGTGGGACCACAGAAATGATTTCAGTCTACTCTAATAGGTTGTGATATGTTAGTGAAAATGCTTTCTTCAAGCTAGGGTTGGAACTTTTTAGTTCCTCCAAGTTCAGGAAGCTGTTTCTAAAACTCTGAGAGCCTCTAGACAAACTCAATTTTGTTAGCCATCTGGTGTCACCTGTCACAGATTCAAAGCCAAGCTTTCATGGCCTTATAGCAATATAAGTTATCTTAAGAAAGCCCCAAGTCTTTGGTTAGTACATGAGGCCTGTACCACTTTTACTCATGTTCAGAAAGACCCCATTGTTAATCTTATGATCCAATAATGGCCATTGCCCAAAGTTAGTCCTCTTATCTATCCCCTGCACAAGTCTACTGACTCTACGTTAAATATACATTCAACACTTGGAGTTCAACCTGTTTTTTAAACACAGTTTACCTTTTCCTAGTCCAACTACAAGCTCTAATCTAACATTGGAGAGCAAAGCAGCAACAAGTTTTTTGGAGTTGCTTTGATCCAACTTGTATTTTCATTTCCAGGACAAGTTTACAAAAGTGGAATATAAGCAGCAGAGCACCTGCTTAGCAATCACGAGGCTCTGAGTTCAAACCTCAGTACCTCCCCCAAAAAAGTGGTTTTCTATGCCTTATGAGTCTCTTATTGATATTGGTAGTGTATCTCTTCCATTCCTCTTTCTGGAACTTTCAGTGCTCACATACTGATTTCTTCTGTCTTCCCAATGTGTCATGAATTCACATACTTCACCTATGGTGTCATCTTTTTCTTTCTTTTTTTTTTTTGGTGGTACTGGAGTTTGAACTCAGGGCCTTGTGCTTGCTAGACAGGTGCTCTACCACTTGAACCAGTCTGCAGCCCTTTTTGATGTGGTTATTTGTGAGATAGGATCTTGCTTTTTTGCCCAGGCTGGCCTGACCTTATCATCCTATTTTATGCTTCCTCCTGTAGCTGGGATTTGGGGTGTGTACTAACACACCCAGCTTTTTTCTGGTGAGATGGTGCCTCATGAACTTCTTGCCCAGGCTGGCCTCAAATCACCATCATCTTGATCTTAGTCACCCACCTGGCTTGGATTACAGGCGTGAGCCACTGGTGCCCGGTTGGTGCCATTTCTTAACAAACCTGTTCAGTGATAAGGATTGGCAATCAGTTTTGCAGTTACATTTATGTTTTATGTCATCTCCTAATATTTTTCTGGTAGCAGGGTTCATGTCTGTGTGATTGCAAGTTGCTAACACCAAGTCTAAAAAATGCTACTGCAGGCCATTTTTTAAAAGCAAATTCACAGGGTTTGGGATGTAGGTTAATGATAAAGAACTTGCCTAACATGGCCCAGGGTTCTGATCCCTGCATTGGAAAAAAATCTAAAATAAAATTTGTAAATGTCAGAATGTAAGTTTTTAAAAATCTGAGGACAATCCTGATTCTTCCAACATCCAGGATTTATAGATTAGACAAACATTCTAAATATAAAATGGGTTTTACATCTTGGTTTATGTTTATGATCAGCTCATTTTCTGCATATGCATGATTATTTGTTACCTAAATGATAAAAGAAGAAGTATGTTATGGATTATCATCATTGCAGCGTTCTTCTTGAAAGATGTTTTTAGCCACTAATGGACTTTCTTTTGCCATAGGATGTACCAATGGGTCAACATAATTTCCAAAATCGCACCTTAAGGTATGGTATATCTTTTTGACTATTAAATTTCTGAAGGCTTACTGCTTGTTATTTATTTCTGAGAGTAATTATCATCAATTAGTCATCTCAAAGGCTTTTCTAAAAGAGCAGCTACTTGTGAAAAGCCCTATTAAAATGCTCCCAGCTTCTAAAAATAAGATTATTAACATTTTGTTATTAGAATTAGGATGGAGAAAAGGGAAGCACCACCTGGTAGTCACTTTGGGATGGTAAACTGTTCTCTTGAAATGACTCCTGTTAATATTAATATGTTGTAAAAATTAAATTGTTTTGTGAATAAATGAGCAAAGACATTGAATTGTTTTAAAATGAGTATGTTTCTTGAAATTATTTTTTGTTGAATCTAAAATATAAAAGCAAGGTAAGTCCAGCCTTCCAATCCTATAGTAAAGTCAAGAGCTATTGACCTTGCTTAAAAAAAAGAAATTGCTTCCCAAGAAGGTCCACATGTGCCTTTGTCACCATCCATAGTAAAATCTCATGCTACCCTTTTTCCTCCTACCCCTGTCTTTTGGGTTCAGTTTCACCTTAATATTGGTTTGGCTAACTCTCAATATTAGGAAGTTAGGATAATTAATGTATGATCCTGTCACAAAAGCTAAGGCAGCATTTCTTTCCCTACAGAGAGGTCAGTTTATAGGAGGTCTCAATAGATTCACGAAAAAGAAGGAAAAATACAGGATCCAACATATTTTCTTGTAGAAAATGCATTGTATATGAGTAAACACTAAATGCTGCACATTTCCCCAGAATCCTTCTGTGTGACTTTATTTGCTATAATAAGCTCTAATTTTTATTTTGTGAAAAATAACATTTTAGTATTGAAATGTAACACTTGTAGTCCTCATGGTATAAGGATAATAAGATTCTTGAGGTTTTGAAACTTAATTTTTTCCAGTGGCTTATATCATGCTAAAGAGAATTTAAGCTAATATTAGGAATATTATGGACCCCCATAAGATACTTTAGAAGGCATGACCCTTAAAGCTAATAAGACTCTAGCATGCAAAGGAACAACTGTTCCCAGGAATTTCATGGACTCCCTTTCACTTTATGTTCATTATCTCTTCTATTATCTGTGTCCCTTTCACTGCAATTCTACTTCCAGAGGCTAGTTATTGAAATACAGTGGGAAATACCTCATGGAACCCAACATTATGTCAGGCAGTGTCTTCTGCGATGAGCACAGCCAGGACTCTAGCGATAGTAAGCTATCATTTTTGTCTGTATTAAGCCACAGAAAATCAAGTTTTATGCCTCCAGTGCTACCATGAGGTAGATGTCATCATTTTGGAGTGGAAGAAACTAAAGCACAGTGGTGCAGCAGAATGTCCAGAGTCACATGGGTGTTAGAACTAAAAGCCAAGATTTGTGCCAGGCTCTGTGATTCCAAAGCCAGCATCACTGACCACTGTTCTGAACTTCTGGCTTAGTAATGCCTCTTCTGTGGTTACTACACCATCTACATCTGTGGTTGTTGGCCTTGGGTGGCCTCCGGGCATTGTGGAGAAAATGGTGGTTTTGAGCCAGACTCACTGGCCTTACTCTCACTTCCTGGATTGTAACACAAACCTTTATAAAGACCTCGGAGGCTCAGGCTTGATCCAACAGCTGGCATCACAAGACCTTTACCATGACTCCTTAGGTAAACTTGTCCAGGCATGTGAGGGTGGGAACAAACATAGAAAGGAGCTTGAGAAAGAGATTGGTGACATGATGGAAAGAGAGATTGGGTCACCGAGCAATGGACAGTCTGATCATGGGCCAGAGGCCAGTGCAACGACTGGCAATTAGTAGTGTTTTAAGGCCAAAGAACAAAGTCCCGGAAGTCAATCAAGAACTCCCAGCGAGTAGGTGATCAGCCTTAAGAGCGCTTAATCATCTCCATGGCAGGGGCCAGGCATGAACAATGTCTATATGTCAGATGTCCAGCTACTTAGTGAATTCAAATAATGTATCACGGCATGAGTTTGATGGAGACTTCATACTTTATACTTATGATGTTTAGCTCTCTGCAGGAATTATCTGAATTAATCCTAAACAGATTAACAAAGGCCTGAACATTACAGAGAAGATACACATTTTCATGTGTACCTCAAGTACCTACACTGGTCCATCTTAGATTTTGTGAAAAAGAAAGACACCAAGTTAAAATTAAGAAACACAAGTCTAGCTGTGGAAATGGAAAATTAAAATAGTGTCTAAGGTTGTGCATCCATCATTTAGAGCTCTGCACCTATGAGAGTGTGTGAACCAACCATGGTAAATGATTGCTGACATTCTTTACTTTTTCAAAAAAGGATGAAGGGGGTGTAGCTCTGAGGGAGAGCATGTGATTGGCATGAGCAAGGTCCTGCTTTGATCCCCAGCACCAAAAACAAGAAAAGAAGCATAAAAAATAATTCTCCTTCTTCAAACAGGTTGCAATTGGATGCACTAAAATCACTTAATTCCATTGGCTTAGTATCTATAGGTGGATATCACTTAATACTTTTTGGGTTTTGAACCAAGACTGCCCTGGTAGAAAAGTTCAGGTGCAGAGGTGCAAATCTGCAACACAGGGTGCTGGAATTGGTAACCCACCCATCTCATCAATATGATAATCCTGTGAGATTTAATTATAGATAAGTAATAGTGTGATATTATATATTTAATGCTATACTTATCTATATCTAGAGGCAATTCTTATCTCAGAAAAATGTTTTTATTCCAGCTTAGAAGGTCTATTTATTTAGTAACTAAACAACCAGAGCACGTGGAATCTTTGCCTGTTTCAAGACAGACATACAGCATTATTCAAACCAGCTGGTGAAGGCCAACCAATGCTTTTAATCTGTAGTAGATATTTAACTTTTAAAAATAGGTGCCAATGCTGTTTTCTCCTTTGATCCTTCTATGGGAATTATCAAAGTATCTTTGGGGATCTCTGATTATCACTTGGCGTAATTCATTTAGAAATTGTATTATGAATATATTATGAATATAAATTATTTGCTCTTGAGTCCAAATGGTTTACAAATATAAGTAGACTTTGAAAACTGAGGAACACTTAAATACCTACAATTCAGGTTTGACATGCCTAAAATAAGGATATAGTTTTGCAAATTCTAAAAAATTGACCAAGGAGACATGAAAACTGAATGACTATTTTGTCAACCAGACAAATTTTTTGCAGAGAAACTCTAAAGCCGTGTGTTCTATCTAAAGTAAAGTTTATGAAGGCAACAAGTCAAGGTAAGGCTTCTCTTAAGAGAGAAAGTTCTTTTATCTTAGTCACCAAGTGTGTGCCTATCAGACTTGATTTTTAAAGCCTCATGAATTTCAGTCTCAGTGAATGAGAAGCTAACGTTTTTACCGTACCAAACACCCTGCTCAGCTCATTCTGTTTAGAGCAGGAATGTTGATAGGCAAAGCCTAGTGATGGATTTCTTTCTGTTTTTCTTTTTACTTTATTAACAACACTAAACAGAGGCTTTGTCACCACAGAGCACTAGGCCTAATATTTACCTTAGTACTAATATCTTACCTATACTGTTTCCTTTTCCATACAGAACCAAGTCACAAAAGAAAAGATTTGAAGAGGAACTGAATGAAAGGATGGTTCAGGCAATTGATGGAATCAATGCACAAAAGTGAGTACTTTTATCTTATGTGATCTTATTTCAGTCTATTATTTAAAAATAGTGCCTTATTTTCCAGAAGTGTTTCATAGCAGATTCTGTACTTCTTATTATGACAGAGCCAATTTTTCTGAGATAACTCATTTATTTTACCTCAATTGTCCTTCATAATAGCTTTTGTTAATAGCATTTTTTAATTTATGAAATTAATTTATGTGACATTAGCCATTCAAGATGCATTGATTCCCCTGCAAAATCAGAAAGCATTGTGATAAGCACTGTTCTAAACTCTGGAGAGGAAGACTGATTCTTTGTGGGCAAAATATCATTCAACCTATGAAGCTAAGAATTACTGTTGCAACTCTAAGTGACCAAAAAGATGTAGAGAAAAAGACAATTTAAAGAAGGTGGTGGCTTCCATGTTCTGGACAAAATGAATGCACCCACTGGCCTTTGCACTCTCTTTAGTACCTGTGTCTTATGGGAACTCACCTGTGTCATGGTGGAAGTCATGGAGAACAGAAGGCAGATGACTCATTATGGTGCCTGTTCACATTAAAAACTCAACTGATGCTTGTGGAAATAAATTACAGGGGCTTCAGTAGAACTACATGTCAATTTTTTTGAAAAGTAGAAATGATTTTCACCTGCAACTCTTTGTGTCTAACATAAAGTTATAGGGCCTCAGTTAATACATGCCTTTGCAAAATGTGTACCTGTTCTAGATTGTTCCATACAGGTATTAGAATATTTATAGGGCTTATGAGAATCATATAAATGTCTGTGTGGTATGTGTATGCATGTATGCAAATTTCTATATATCCATGTAATAAAACATCTTGATCAGACAAAAGCTTAATTCAGATATGCTGAATATTGAATTCTCATGTCTCCAGCTCATCATGTACTCCAAACAGACAAAACCATCCACCCATCCTAGATTGCTCAGACAAATGCTGTGCTTTGTCTGGCACTAGGATCTGTATGAAAACTGCTTTACCTCTGTCCCATTTGAACATATCACAAACCAAGAAACAAGTGATTACCTATAATGTACTAGCAGGTAGAAGTCAGGAAAGCATCTGGTGCCATTTACTACAGGTGGAAGGATACAGTCATCCAACCAGAGGAAGAAGCAGCTGTACTCTGTGACCCAGCAGTCAACACATAACATTAGAAGAAAGAGGAATCTTGGTCCTTGACAAGTTTAGCTAGTAATAATAATAACTGAGGCTGTAAATTCAGCCTCAGCATGGACTAGAGTTGGGACTGGGGTTTGAACTCAGGGCTTCATGCTTGCAAAGCAGGTGCTCTATCACTTGAGCCACATCTTCAGTCCATTGTACTCTAGCTATTTTGGAGATAGGGTCTGAAGAGCTATTTGCCCAGGCTGGCCTTGAACCCTAATATTCCCAATCTCAGTCTCCCAAGTAGCTAGGTTTACAGGTATGAGGCACAAGCACCTGACAAGAACATGCATTCTTATATTTCAAAATGATCCTCAGTTAGGATGTGAATGTACTTCTGCATTTCCCCTGCAGTAAGGACATTATTTATAATTTCCTTTATTTGGCTTTGGCCTAGCAAAAAAAGGAACCACAAGAACTTCGACTTAATAGAAACTAATAAGGAGTTACTTATAGTGTAGTCCAACAGTGGGATTTAATTTTTTCATACCAGAGACTACCTTGGGTGAGGAAAAAATGTGAGGAGACCAAGAATAGAACACATGCATATTTCCTCTCCTATCTTCTCCCCTCTTGTCCTCTCGTGGTTCCCTGTGGTTCCATTTTCCAAAAATAGTATTTGACCTTATCATCCCACACAAATCTTTCCTATTCAGATTACCAAATCATATTATTAAATCTCTGAATTTCTTACAAGTTAGTAGGAGTAATTCAGTCCACTTCAGAGAACTCACAGACATAATTAAGTATGTGGGAAGAACATATTCTCCTTAATTCTAAGGACACAGTAAGAATTGGGTCTATCACTTACTGCTTCAAGGAAAAAGCCACAGATCAAACTGGACTTGCTGTATGAAAGCAGAGACTAAAGCATGGATTAGTTAGAATTTGGCCATTTCCCCAAGGGCTTCTGGTTTGTGATGTATAATGTTAGGTTCTGGAGACACTCACAGGCAAGTCATGGTCCTAAGACCTCCCTTGTCACCTGCAGGACATAGGTGACTGGAACCCACATTGGGAGGTCTGGGCTCTCATAACAAATGAGGAGCTGGTTTTATTTCCACTTTATAAGCTTCATTTTTGTTTTATTTCTAAGCTTATATTATCCAGGAACATTTTTAAATTAGGTTTTTCTTTCTCAATAAAGAAAAGAACTGTTTTAGTAAGTCACTTGCCTAAATTATTCATATTCTGATAAATACATAGTTCTAACGGTAAATATGGCTAACATTTATCTTAAATTTTATTTTCTGGACCTTTTACTATTAATCCACCTTTGATTACTCCAAGTAGTCTCATGAAAGAGAAGAATCACATAGTTCTTCAGCTAGCACAGTGATAAGAAACACCAAAATGTTTATTTCCCTACAACATCATCGAGCTTGTAACCTTCATTCAAGCAGTGTCTTTATGAATGTCAGTTTTAATGGCAGTCATTCTATGCAGGTTACTGACCTCCCTGGCTCAGTCAAAAGTGTATATCAATAGTTTAGTCTTCTGGCTCATTCAAGCTGATTATGGTGTGTGGCTGGCGGCAGAGGTAAGGATGGCAGAGGGTTCAAGGAGGCCTGAAGTGCCCCCCTCTGCCTGGCTGGCCTCTTAGGCCACTGTGTGGTTACATGAAAGGCTACATCTAGAGACCTGACCTGGAATCCACAGGGCTGACCTTGCTGACTGACTTCAGGTAGATCTGGTTCACTTGCTCCTTCTTCCTGAGTCCTCAAAGGCTTACATCGTCTATCTCCCTAATACATCTCGGGGGCAAATCCATTTGAAAAGTCTTGTATTAAGAGATTCATATCAATCGATAATTGTTGTAAAAGGCATAAATGTTTTTTGGAAATTTACGTAAAGCATAAGTTTCTCCCTAATGTCCTAATATACATGCATATATATGTGTTCATGTATGTGTATGTGTATATATATATGTAGTCTTGATAGATATAGATATCAAACACCCATATCTAGATGTAGATGTAAATGTAGATATATACAGTTATATATACAGCAACATATAGACATATATGCGTATATATTTGAGATTATATTATGTTAAATTATAAATGTTTTTATTTGAGCAAAGTTAGGAAAATAGAAGTATAAACTCAGTGACTACTGACCCCATCAACTTCATAATATTTTGTCATTGATATTTTCAGCTGCATTTCTTTAGGCACAAATTTGAATTTTGTCCTATCTTCCTGTACTCATGAATATAAGAATGTTTATCTTCTTATCTCACATAAGTTTACTTACATTTATTCTGGTGCCAGATGTATGACTTGTCAGGCATTCTGTGCAAGGCATCCCTGGTCATGTGCCTGGCCTTGCAGCTTTTCTTGTGCACAGCACTCTAGTGAAGGGCTTTCTCCTTAAACTCTCACTCCATTTGCAATTGCTTTCTTAAAATGGACTTGTAAAAGTAGACCAATTGGAAGTATGAATACTGACGTGTAACTTTTGTTTTCTGTATTGGAGAGATGAAGAGGCACTTAGGCATGTGACTTTTATGCTTTCATCAACATTATGAACCAATGGCTCATTATATTAGTATTTTAGCAATTGTGTTGAAAAGTACATTCAAACATAATTTTACTTTCTTGACATAAAAAGTGACAGTGAAAGGATTTCCAGCATGTGTGGGAAAACCACAATCTTTTCACCCACATCTTGAAGGCTTCCTGGAGGTTGGGATGCTATGTGTGCAATGCACTGCTTCCAAAACTAAGAAAAATGGTATTTATCCAGGAACCAAATCCTTTAGGAGATGTACCAACCATGTGACTTCAGTAAAAAACTCAGGGAATCAATTTATTGACATATTGGAATACTTTTTCATGACTTCTCTCCTCTGATATTTAATCTGGATGATTTGAATTTCAATTTGATTTGACAGTTTTCAATGTGGAGTTTCTCAAGAATGGCAGCATGAGACTTATTTACGTTACATTTGTAGATCCTGTTAACAACCTCTGGATTCCACTCCCAACAAGTTGCCATCATACATTTTAAAACAATATTCTTCTTGGAATGATTTACAACCAACAGAGAAGAATGCAAAGTCATTTTATGAAAAGTAGTTCCAGATGTGTGGTTCGAGCTTGGTTTGACGATTTTTTTTCCTTCCTATTTCCAGGCAATGGCTCAAGTCTGAAGACATTCAGCGAATCTCACTGCTTTTCTATAACAAAATTCTAGAAAAAGAAGTAAGCCAATTTTTATCTTAAGATTGGTTGGTTTTGAATTCCTTCATGAAATTGGGCTCATGATTTTACACACAGCATTTAAACTGCCTCTAACTGTATCAGAACTCTTTCTACCTTCTTTGTGGTTGGGTTTTCCGTGTTTAAGCATATTTCCTGTTACCAAACCCTGGCTTCAATCCTCACCATTCTCCAAACTCCTAGTGTAAATGATTTCTGCAGCACATTCAAGATTTGGGGGCAGGGGAGGGAAAAGGACAGGAGTTAAAGTGTGGCTTCCTCAATGTGAAATTTTCTCTGTAAAGACTGTTACAGAAAGCAAAACCCTTCCTGGTAGATTTGTAATGTCTTTACACAAATTGCTTCAATATTTTGACAAAAATATGAGTTTTACACTCAACACCTGTTCAGAGATATTAGAAAACACAGTTTTAAGTTTTGCTGCGTTGAGATGTTTTCCCATTGAGGCTCTCAAAGAGCTATTTCAGGCACAAATAAGAAACAGACGTTTAGTTTCTGCAGATTTGCTAAAGTAAACTAAGTAATTATTACAGGGAGGACAGTCATTCTTTTAGGTTAATGTTACCTCTTTCACTCTGTTTTCTATTGATCTAGAGAAGGAAATATATTCAGAGGCAGTTTCAATCACCCAACCACATAACCCCAGCTTAGTTTGAAGAAAAGGGTCTGTGTTATGGCAGCATTTGCATCTCTGGAATTAAAATTCAGCTCAGTGTTTTATGTACATTGAATGAAAATATCAAACATCACAGATTCTTCTAGAATCTCTCATGGTTGGATTTTACAGGTACACCAAACTTCTCCTTTGTGTTGGTGGTCAAGAAGATCAATAGTCTACATCTACATAAAGGACTTTGTCTATAGATGATTTGCCAAATTAATGCTTACAAATGAATTATTACCCTTGAGTGACTACAACAGATCATAATGGTTATTTATCATTTCCTTGCTTAATACCAAAATGAAATTCCAAGCCACATCTCTGCACAAAACCCTGATGAAGTTAAAAGATAAGATGTAATTGAATGCATAGGATATAATAACATTTTAGCAATTATGCTAATACAGTTTCCTCATCAGCGTATAAATTATCCTGGCTATTAAGTCACAGGAAAATGTCTAGAACCAGGGAAGTGTCTAGTAAGAAGGTAATCATCATTAAAAATTCCCCATGTGTACATATCTGCAAATGCCAACTTTAAGGCAAATTTTGAGAGCATGAATATTTGTGCTCACTTTTCATCCACCTATCTCCAGTCTATACTTCACACAGCAGGACAGATAAGGGCAGCAAGTCATACAAGAAGAGTTATCAGAGGACAATTGGAGATCTGTCCTTGAGCACTAAAACCCAAGAGGCTCAAGCCCAAGATCTGAATTAATTTCTTCGTAATTTAGGAAATAGTCTATGCAAATGAAGCTAATGCAAACTGACAGTATTTTCAGGTTTGGATGGCATTGTCACAGAATTTTATTTCCTTTAGTTTTATTATTTCTTTTTTTGGAGAGGCAGTGTGGCTTCATGTTCAGGAGTTTGGCTCAGTGTTCCTGTTGAGCGAGGGTCCTGCTTGCCTCTCGTGCTGTGTCTCCCTGAGAGCGTTAATCGGTCCTCTGCTCTGCAGTTCTCTCATACAAAAGTGGGGACAGCACTAGCTCCCGCTTTGCTGCAGAGTTCTTGTGAGGGTTACATCAATTAATACATAAAGCACTTGAAATTTCTGGCACACTGTAAGGGGTATGTGCATCAGAAGTCATCTCCATCCTCCTCGTCATCATCAGTTCAGCGTGTCTGACTCTGGCTTCCTGAATAAACCAAGACAGGTAGGCAGCCAGCGCATGTCGGCTTATGACCCTGGACCACAGGCAGAACCCAGTCAACCTCTGCTGATTGTGCTTGAGCAGAGGAAGGAGGGGAAAGTCCTTACTCAGCTTCAGAACAAAGCTCTCAGACCTTTTTTGTCTTATAGCTTCATTCATCACTCTAAGGCCCACTAAGATAAATAATAAAATGAAATGCTAAAATGAATATATTGCAGATATCTTGCATTTTCTCAATGCTATTCAAGACTGTGATTTTATTATGTGAAGAGTCATCCTTTTCCCCTAGATAATTGTAGGAATCAGACCCACAGGGGAAGTTGGGGACAGGTATTGCTCACACACTCATCTTTCTGGTCAGGTGCCTCTCTCCATACTAGAGTGAATGCAGTAGGATCTAAATGGGTTTCTGAACAGTTGGCCTCATAAATTATGGTTTTTGGAAGTTGCTCGCAGTTCATTTGGAGGGAGGAAGCTCTGACTGCCTGAGATGTACAGCTTTATCTTGTTTATGCTGCAATCTACAATTCATGACTGTAAATCCCCAGGTACAACTAGGCTGCTGGGTAATTGTATGCAGTTCTTCTCTTAGAACCATCATTCATGGTGTCCTTTTTCCTCCTTCAGTACCGAGCCACTGCACTGCCAGCATTCAAGTATTACGTGACCTGTGCTTGTCTCATTTTCTTCTGCATCTTTATCGTGCAGGTTCTCGTATTGCCAAAGTAAGTACATAAGGTTTCCCCTTGGGGTTTTTACCTGGTGTACCTTTCCACTGGAGGCTGGTCATATTAAAGGGCATGAAAGGATGCTAATTTCCAAACAGAGGGGTCATTTATCATGTCACCATGCAAGAGGGGTAACTCGATATCTTGGAGGGTAAGTGCTACCCACGTGTCTTGCTTAGTCATAATAATACTGCATTTTCCAAGTGGACATATTGATCCACCTGATGGGGAGTCATATATAAATTTGATCTTCTTACAATTGACTTTGGTATTTCTCTGATGTCCTGTTTTGGAAATGTAGCCTAATAAACTTTATCCATGAAGAGAACCATCACCAGGTGTTATTTCTAATAAACAAATGTCATCATTGACATTTGTAAAGGCAAAACCTATGCTGGGCACACTTTGCCCGCCTATCCACTTGTTTTTCACATTCTGTGGGCTATCCTTTACTCTTTTTGTCTTAAATCCACCCTCTCTAGCCATCTTTGGTTGCTACAGGCCAGGGACTGCTGGCTTCTCTCAGGAAAGCTAGGTACAGAGGAGAAGAGAGAATCTGACCACACCAGGTCTCATGCTTTGGGTGGATTTCTTCTGGTTCTACCTATCAGTAAAAAAGACGTTCACTTTATTATCCTAAATGATCTTTTCTCTTGCACTTCTTAATGAGAGCAATACAAGCTTCTTTAAAGAAGCTGATTTTCACTTTATAACTTAAAGAAAATTAAAAAAAACCTTGTCCTTCTTACAACAATTGGATATGGAGAAAAAAAAATCTAGAATTGAGTTTCTCTCTTACTATCAGTATCTATTTTGTGAAGGTCAAAAAAGAATTTCAATCTACTGGAATTCAGTTGAGTACCAGAATTTAACTTTGGAGGTGCAGCTATCATCTGTGTACAGCTTAATCATCTTAGATTGGGTTGCATTTGTCTCAGGAAAATGCTCAGAAACAAGGAAGAAGAGCTGTGTCTTTTCCTCTCTGTACTCCAAAGGATTTTATTCTGGACCCTGAGCAAATACTGTGGCAATTATAGAAGTAAAAACAAAGCAAAGTATTACTCACATATGTACAGTTCTGTAGCTATCTATCCCATTTTTGCAAAGGTTCCCACTAGATTTCCTCCTTCCGCCATGAATTAGCATCGGGGTACATGAGCCAAAGGAAGCCTTCTTCTCAACTTAGAAAAGCTTCACTAAAATGCTTTTTTCATTCTAAACAAATTTTAACAAATCAAATTCCTTCTCAGTGCCAGGCCTTTACCACCTGGTACAGGAGAGAAATATCTGACCTCAAATACTTTGGCTTACAGGGCAGAGGATGTTGACAGAGGTATGTAGGTGAACTAATGATGGCCCAGGGAAATGAAGCCTTATTGTTATTCTTAAGTAGCTAAATTAATCATTTTCCTGCATCTTCCTTTGGATGAGTATCTCTATAGTCCATATATTATAAGCAATGCAGGGTCTGTCACTCACTGGAAGGAATTTGGGGAGGAAGAAGTGACCAGTGCATTTTCAAAGATGCCTCCAAAGAAGACAAAAGACTCAGGAACAAAGAAAAATATTTCATGGGACTTCACTTTTAAGAAACATTGCGTCATTCCCTTCCTATCTTGGCACAGATTGCGTTTCCATTTCTGTTTTACTGCATCTTTATGAGACCCATCCATTCTCTCCAGCTTTGTCACCCATTACTTTGTTTTTCTCTTGTGCACAAACTACTCTTTGGGCACAGGCTCTGGGAAATCACCCAGGTTGCATTTCCTTCTGGTGCTGTTGGATGGTACACCCAGAGGAGAGCCAATGGGCAACTCCAGTGGAGGGTCCAGATTCCGTGCCTCTCCCAAATCTCTTGTTGCACCGACCTTGTTTCTTCAACTTTCTTTCATGGTATTCTTTTGTCTTTTTCATAACAATTTTCGCTGTAAAATATTTCAAAGAAAAAGTGCACACTACAAACATTGAAATGTTAACTCTGTGTTCTATTTACTTTAGATGTGTTTCTCACTCTTGGGACTGCTTGTATTTAGGTATGTTTCCTTGAAAAAGCATCAGTTTTTATTTTCTTTTCTATTCATTTTGATATCTTTCTCCATAATATGATCTTCTTACACTTGTGTTTTCACTTTATTTACCGATGAGTGCGGAGTCACATCTACCATCTTATCTTG